CCAATGTGCTTCGGATTGTGACCATCTCTCCGTCGTAAATCCTTAAACATTCTGCCCAACGAGGTACCCTTTTTCCGATAATTTGCTGCCACTGGGACACCCAGGCTTAAATCCAGCCTGTACATTGAAACCCTTTTCATTAAAATGCATAGATTTCTTTATTTAATTCGGCGTTTATGTTTCTATATCAGCAAATTCAAACTCTACTCTTGTGATCTATATATCTCTGTATCCTCTCCCTCATTTTCTAATGTTATCCGGTTATTTTTTCAGCCTTATACTACACCAGCTTTCTGAATTTTAGACGTATGCTCCGAATGCTCTCTTCAGCTGCCGATGCTTCCCATGCTTTTTGAATTGATATTATAATGTAGTGACACTTTACAATGGTCGATCAATTCTGACATAAGGGCTGCGAAGTCCTTCCGTCCCAGGCACCGATAGTTCCGACATATATGTCGCCGGCCATTAGCAGACCAGCCTTCTGTATTACACTAGTAGCATACCTCGTCACGTGAAAAAATAACGAAATACAGAAATTGATGTCAGAACTGCCATCTTAACATAGGTTCAATTTATATAAACCGTTAGGTTATTGCGTATATGTTAATTTATCCTCCGGTCTCAGTGAATGGGATCAGTTTTGCTGAGCATTTTGGATGATACTTTCAAAATAAAGCGCATCTCCCTCTCCATGGTTTCACTCAGAGCATTTGTGATCACAGGTCAGCATTGTATCTACTTACAAGTCCGATTTCATCCCTGATTTTCTACCTGCGCCCACTCTCCCAGCGGATTTTCTCATAATAAGCAGCTCTCGGAGTATATTGAGTGACAAAAAAGGGTCTCACGAGCGGCTGAGAAAGAAAGCATCCTAGAAAGGTAACCTGCTACAGACAACCCCGTGAAACAATAACGTAATGACCTCAGCCACAGGTAGGAAAAAACCTCACCAAAACAAGCAGGTTAGCCTGTTTCTGCCTGGTTGGCTTGACAGACATCAAATCCTGTGGCTGAATTGTGGACTTGAAGGGACTTAGCAGTATAGTTATCAGGCCACCGTAGCTCCTTTTGCATGCGGCTTGTATGCTTCATTTATGTTGCAAGGCTGAGACCATCACGGTTCACCGTGACTGAGAAGGAGGCTCGCTGACGCATTTACCATAGGCACCATCAGCTCACTGTCTTTTATGTGTGTATTGGCTTATGTGTGGGCTAGGATTCGGATGGGAATGGTTCTTTATAAGTCCCTGATTATGTACACCTTGGTGTATGCGTCCAGGGGGTCAGGCTGTGTTGTGGCGCGCGCAAGCAGGTGCGCCGGCTCTTTCAGCCCCTGTGCCCGCTCCTGCTGTGGTCTTCTTGACTGTCTTGAAACCGGGCTCAGGTGGGTGAAGGAAAATAGTGTGGATGATGCGGCGCAAGTCTAACATGACCTAAAACTAATTCACGCGCAAGTCACCGTCCCTGAATTACCCTGTTGTGGAG